AAGGCAAAAAAAGAGCAGTTTTTTGCTCTATACTGCGTGAAAAAGCCGGTTTTTACTCTCTTTTTGTCAGTTTTCGACGTAGAAAACTCGCTCAGAATCTCTCATGAAACCTTGAAAAGTGATTTTCTATATGATTCGCGACGTACTCTATCAATTGGACAGATAAAAAAATTTGTTTAGCGCAAATGGCTTTTCGGCTTGAACACCAAGATCTTCAAAACCCAGGACTTTAAAGTCAAAATCAGCCCAAACCATTATGAAATTCGGAATCAGCATGCTCGATTACCCCCGTCAACTGAGTCTCAGCTCAAAAGCGAAGGAACACTTGATGGCCTTCCCTAGTAAGTGCATGTAAAAGTTTACAAGCTCAATTTTATTTTCAATGGATAATTACTGATTAAAATTCTTTTGCAATGTATTTAAACCAAGGTAATACTGCCAAAAAGAAACGTTCTGAATCGGGGCAACAGCATCCCTTGGCCGTTAGATCAGAAATACAACAGACTACAGCGAACCGTTGCATCGAAAATGTCAAGGATTTTGCTAAAACTTTCACGATACAAAGATGCAGCATATTTAGGAACAACCTGAAAATTTAAGCTCAAATGTTTGCTATGTTTAAGAGATATAAGCATTTTTCTAACAGGTGACTCGCGTTATAGAGAGCTGGTTGCGGCTATAATGCGAAAGTAAATTTTAATTTTCTCAGTCAGTATGAGAAATACGCAACTCGATATTTTTTTACCATATATACTTTGAAGTGAACTCTATTCAGTTCAGGCTCACGGTAAGCATTTTGCTTAAACGTCACCCAGAAATTTATTTATTTCTTTTAATTAATTTGTTTAAGATTTTGCTAATGTCAGCTAGTGAATCAGTTTTTTTCTCAACTTAATTGCTGAAATCTATAACAAAAAATAGTCTCGGATCTTTACATAATGTCTGTTAATGTGAGCGGTAATAGTATTTATGCAACACAGAAAATAGAACTTTATGGTATTCTTCGTCCTTCGCTGCTAGTTTTAAAAAGATGATAAAACGTCTGTGCAATAATTATAATATCATACATTACACTTGACCCCAGTCTATTTCAGTATCATGCCATGTTGGAGTATAATCAACTGGCAAGGCATCCACATTAGGGGGATAAAATTCTTCATCGTAGGTAATGTCAACCATTCCGTAAATATTGATTAAACATTGACGAACAGTCATCCATGCACGTCGTTGATCTTCGGGCATTCTTGTTTCTTTACGATATGGACCAGTTTCTGCTTTTTGTGTTAAATCCTGATACCATTCTGGATGCACAATGTTATAAAATCTTGGTGATAAAACAGAATGTTGATCATCGACATAAACTGTTGAATTTGTCCAAACTTGGTAACATATTTTTAAGGAAGGATTTTTTGAAATACGTTGGTGCCAGGAATGAAAAGCTTTCCCAATATGATAGTTACTTTCATGTTTTACAACTTCACGTGTAACAGTTTGATTAGATTTTTTAAATTGGCAATCGTCTTTTTCACATGAACACTCACCCGGTAAATAATCTACTATAACTGTTTCGTGTGTTCCGACAACACTACATTTAACATTACAGCCAGGACATTTTTCACGACATCCAAGTTGAAGTTGAATAGCTACTTTACAATCAGCTAGTGTCTTTGTTTTAAAATAATTTGTTAAATCTGTTGCTTCTTTTTGTAATGAATTAATAAATGATAGGACGGTAAAAAAACCAGATTTAAAACTTTGTTTATCTTGAATTTTGACGTCAAGTACATCTAATAATGTAAACTTTTTTAATCGTTCGTCAACTTTTGATATACCTTCTTGTATATGTTTATTTACAATTTGAATTCTCTGATCACACGCATCGCTTTGTACAATACGATTTGCTTTACGAATCATAACTGATATCAGTTGATTGATTTCTTTTATCTGATTTAAAACAATATTTTTCAATGTTGGTAATGTTAGTTCTAAACCAATTTCAATAAAATAGCGATTAATATCGAATACATATTTCAGTATATTTTCACCATTTGCTTGTCTGATACTACGTGTATATGCTTCTTCTTGGATATATTCATGATTTATATATTTACTTTTTGATATATCCTTCTGAGTTTCGCTTAATATATCAGCTAAGAGTATAAGTTTAATCTCTGAACATATTTGTGTGGCAACACTGTTGGCTAGTGTTTTTCCTTGTTCAAAAGAATTTTCCATTCATGAAATTTGTTCATGGATGTCACATTTCCACTGTTTACATTCGTCCAGTGAAGTTTGTGATTCTTTGTTATAGTTTTGTTCCTCAATACGAATTGCTTCATCAATTAATATTTTTAACCCAAGTAAAGTACAATCATTTGTAAATTTATGTGAATTTAACTTCCTATAACTTTTTCTTATTACGTCCGTTTTTATCGCATTATTAACGTAATCAATCAGAGCTAACAACATTGTTGTAGTTGGATAGGAATATTTTGCTTCATTAATTAGTTGCCGTATGTCTCTGTCTAATGCAGGTAGTACTAAAGATATAATATCCGAAAATATTTGTTTATTGTTTTCAGAGGTAGTATTATTAGGAAACCATCGTAAATCATGCTTTAATTTGTCCCATACAGTAGTTGATACCGTTTGGTTGGTAGTACGCTTAACGAAGGGAAACGTTCGGCTGAATGAATAAGTTTTGGATTCTGAATTTTGAGATTCGTTTTCTGTCATTAGCTTTTGCACATTTGCTAATGTATCACAACCACGTTGGTAATCATTTATTTCCAATGATTCTAATCGATTATAAATATCATCTTTTTTTGTTGATGCTACTTTTGATTTTAATAACATATTATATGTATACAGTATTTTTGCAATAATCTTTTCTTTATCTTCACGCATTGATAGTAATGTTCCTTGTAATTCGTTTATTAGCTCTTCATAGTTAGCATCTAATTCTTTTTTTACTGCGTTGACGTCATCACCCATTCGTTGATTGAATGCTTCTTGTGCCTTAGTTATTAATCTTTTATGCACAGCTTTTGTGCTAGCATTTTTTGGATAATTTATATAGACGATCCTCAAAACTTTGACGCAATAATTCTTCTTGTGTGAGCGTATTTGTGGTTCAATATGTTGCTTTACCTTTTGTTTTATATTTGGTAAATAACAACTTCGCTCAGTTTTCATATCAAATTCATATTCAGCTTGACTAGCAATTTTTTCTCCACAAACTTTTAGACTATTAGAATAACGCTCTGTAATAAGTGCAAATGTATTTGGATTACAACTAGCCATAGTTTCAGAAAGATTATCCAAAATGTCTTTCATTTGCTCACACCCTTGTTGATGTAATGTATCAATTTTTTTTGCAATTATATCATAAGCAAAATGGCGTACTTCATTCATAATAGCTAGTTCATGTAATGTTTTACAGTCTAATAGGTTTGGACCTAACTTATCTATTGCTTCCCAATTAGTCGCCAATTTATTAAATGTATTTTCAATATTGGTATATACTGGTTCCGCTTTACTTACGGAATCACTTAGTTGTTCGAAAATAATTTTTCTTAATTCAATAATTTCCGTTGGAAAAGTTTGACTCCTGTAGGTTTGTTTTATATTTAAATCTTTATTGACATCATCATTAAAAGCATTTGTTAACAACATAATACTATTGCTTTTGATTTCAAGTTCATCATCAATCGATACTTTTAAAAACTGACTGTCAGTATACAGATTTTCTTTAAGTTTAGCTAATTGTTCAACGAAAGTACGATTTTGACATTTAGTATCATCATTTTCGTTGGTGCGGTTGTGTTGTTGTGTGCCAGCCTGATCACGTAAAACAAATTGTAGTTTTGGTTTTACTGCTGAACCTATTTGTAATTTAGCATAAAAACTCATGCCAAGCAGATGTTGTAATGTAGCACTAACTTCTCCTTTTGTATTCAGTAAAACAAGCTGTGATGATAACGTAGCCATCGATACCATTTGATTATCAAATATTGAACCAGCTTCTTCCAGTGATAATAAACCTTCAGTATCAAGAATGATAATTGTTAATTGTTTCCATAGAACAATACTTAAATACATTCCAATTGTACAACGGCCAGCACTAACTCGAAAATTACAACCAAACGTTGAATTTAATAACGATGATTTAGCTGAACTTTGTTCTCCAATAACAGTCATTAGAACTGGTTGTTGACATTCTCAAACATGCTTCAAACACTGTTGTATTAATCCACTATCACAGCGTAACGGTCTACCACGCAGTATGTGTAATGCAAATCCTTTGTACATTAATTGTGCCATACGATGGGATATTTTTTCAAAGGACTCTTTGTAACTGTCAAATATAACTGACTTTTTTATTTGTAAAAAGTCATATAAAGCTAGTATTTCATCACAAAATAAACCTATGGTCAAGTCAATATTTATTAATTTATTGTTAATATCTTTTAACTGTTGTTGTAATTTTGAATATTCCACTTTTAATAATTTCAGTTCATTTGTCTGATTTTGTTTAGACTCCTGATTAGATTCTTGTTTATTATTGAACAGTAATTTCTCGAATCGTTTTATATCACCATTATATTTACTCATTTTTTCTTTTAAAGTATATGTCTTAGCTTTCAAACTGGGTTCATAAATGGAACGCCATTGTTCCAAATATCTTTCAGTTATTAATAGTTCAATATACGAATGCTTATTTAATAAATCAATAAAAAATTTTGTATATTCTGATATACTCTCAATTGAATCCAATTGTTTTTCTAATATTTTTATTTTGTCATTAATTTCACGTGTTGGTAATTTCCAATCAGATTTAATATAACATTTCCAATGTTCAATTTTTGCTTGTAAATGGCTAACTGGTGTTACCATTAATAATAGATCGGGCGTTTCACTCGTTAAACTACCAAATAATTTTTGTAATCTATTTTCTATTTCAAAATAAATAACTTTTGGAACTTGTGATTGAAAACAGGATTGTATAGAAAAACATGAACGAAACTTTGGTTGTTGTTTAATATCAGATTCTAACTTTTGTAATACACTTTCGAATGTTCGTCGTAAACGATCGGCTCGTTGAGTAGTATCAAATGTTTGATTTTTTCTTTTAGTGGTCTGAAAAGTTGGAAGTGTAATCCAGTGAACATTTGAGCACTTTTTAGTACAGTGACGAGATCGAAATTCGTCCACAAGTTTATTTGCTTGAATTTCTTTACCATAATTTGAATCAAATATGGCAATAATTGTTGGTTTTGTTGACCCATTAATAGCGGATGGTATAAAATCGGTGCTTAAATCTAATTCTGTTACATATATAATTTGTACTGATGCATAATGCTGAATAGAGTTTACTAAATCTCTATTGATATTATCTACAAGTGTTCCATGAACATCGAATATAACATATGAATGTTTATCATAATCGTGTGCAAACAGTGTATCAATGCAGCAAGAATGTAATTTTTCGTCGTCATCAATATTTAGAGATTCTTTGCGTTTATCTCGAAATAAATATAATAACATACTCGATTTACCGCGTCCACTTGCTGACGCACTACCGAATTGTAATAGAACTCTATCATCTGTTAAACATAGAATCTCGGCAAGTAAATTAAAATTGATTTTGTAATGTACTTTATTTTCAAATTTATCATAAATGTAATATGATAGGGGTACTGGTAAATCATTTCTTTTAATAAAATTACTCAGATAACGTTGACTTTCATAAGATATTGACTCAATTGTTGTAACTAACAGTACGTTTGATGTGATCGTTTCAACAGTATCAATAAATCCTTGAATAAATTCTTTCTTACTTTCAGAAGAACCATCTGGCTCACTCTCCACGTTTAAACATGCTAAAACATTTCTAACGTCATTTAAAGCGTGATAGCGTTTTAAACTATCGATAATATATGCTTTCAATGATTTGTTTTGATTAATTTCATTTAAAAGATTAATATCAGTAAGCGGTTCATCAACAATTCTACTGAAACAAGTATCCAGTTCATCAGATTCTAATGTAGATGATGAAACGAGAAATTTAAACCAATTTATTAACTGATCGCGTTCTCTTCCTTCGAAATAATCGGCTGGTACGATTGCAGTATATATGGAATTCTTGAGAAAACGATTAATTTCTGTATTGAGAACTGGAAAACTTACGTCTTTTGACTTTCCGCATTGTTGTGTGGTAACTTCTAAGAAACGATACCAGAGTATTTACTACGTTGATAGTGACTAAGCAGAGTGAAAAAACGACTAAACATCGTGACAGGTGTGGGATACTGCGTGGTAATTTCAATGGCCCGATATCTTCCCTCCAGTAATGGTTACTCATCTCGTTATTAGTCATCAACTGCAGCTCCGGCCAGAAGGCTAGCCTAACGCAGAGTTCTTTCGTCCAATTACTGGAGCTCCCCACGCACACTTCACTATCCACGTACTAGCTTTCCGGAAAGCCACGAGAACTCGCCGGAGAAGCTGTATTGTACATCACAACATAGTGAATATTGAGAGTGAGAAAAACTGCTAGCCTTTAAGACATATTTCACTTCATTAAGTATCGTTCAGTAGAGCTAATAGTGTGAGCTGGTCCTTGCTCTCGATCATGGTGCAGGAAACCATGTACTCTCGAAATAAAGAGGTAGCCTTCAAAACCATCAAAATGGTTTAGGAGAAAAAAGGATTTCAGAGGAGTGTTCTGAAGCCTTTTTGAGTTACTGTTAAATCATTTTTTCGCCTAAACCATTTTTCAGGATTTTGTAAACTACCTTTGGGTACTTCCGCACAGGTCCGCCCAGTATTACAGGAGCTAAAAGCCGGGAAAGTTTGACTATATGCAATCGATAGTCCTACTAAGGGTATGTAAAGGCCTCTGTCGCCGCATAGAAAAATTATTCCGAACACGGTTTTTCATCGGCCATAAGTTCTGAATTG